GTTTAGCTTCCAATTCTCTCTCATCCCACTACTTATGCAGAAGTGTCAGTTTCGTTGGAATGTTTCAGAAAATAATTTCTCTGCAGGCTTTATTGTCTAGTTTAGATTTATCATTTATTGAATGATTAATAACCAGAGATAACTGACATAAATTTGACAATGAAAATTTCTGTTTGCTGTTCTTCATCTGATGTATCCCTTTCTTCGTAAAGGCATCCAATTTAAAGTTGGCTAAAGCGGTTTCGATTTAAATGGATGGAAGACATTTGATGGGTTTTCGTTTTTATTACAATGAGCAACGGCAGAAACCTGATTCGATTTGGGTTTCAGATGCCTACTTTATGACAAAAAACAAACAGTCGAAGTTTGCTTCTTCACTGGCGAGGAAGGGAGTATCACTGATTAGTTCTACAATTGTATTATTGAGCAATAATTTCAGGCAAAGACGAAGGTAGGTGCTGATGAAGGCAACTTTATAGGGGAAAAGGTTGCTCTTTTTTGCCAAGTAAACAAACGGAACAGATTGTAAGTGACAGAAATCCTGGTGATTATTGCAGGAAATTAAACTCTGAAAGATAAACTATGACGTAAAATCGATTTGATGGAGTTACCATCATCTCAAGCATTGATTTTGTTACGGAGGCTCCACGTTAGGTGCGCTTCTATTCTGCAAGTTATTCAGTCATCAACAGTTCTGGTATATACAGACAACGTGTTGAAACTCGAGAATTATCCTTCTGCCTTACTGGACTTAGTTTACTTTCTACAATGCCAAGTATGAATATGTATCTGACGGAAAAGAAGTATTTGAAAAAAGGTTTTTGGGATATTGACTGTTAAAGCTATATCATAGAACTAACCAGGCCTTCTGAGGTCGTGGTATCGGAAATTAGATTCTTTTTTCTTCATAACTTCAGCATCTCTCCTAGAGACGTTGACATTTGAGTTTGAATCTCTTAAATGTAGAATCAGAGACGCTATTTTGTGCGAATAATGAGGTTACTCTTTTTATGAAATGTAAGTGTTTAATAAAAAAAAATGGGAATTACACATTCTCTCTCTAGACTTTAAAAAAATGACTACAACAGGTCGCCTTAAAAATGCCTCACATAGCTCATAAATTTAACAAATTCACGACAATGAGATTTTTAAGATATACATTTTGTTAAGTATGAATTACTTTATGTAATATTTTTTATTTATTACTATTTATATCTTTTTCCCTAATATAACAAATTGTTAATGATTTTTGCCTACAAGTCTGTTAGATCTGTCCTCTAAACTAGTTGTGAATGGTATTGAATTTGACTATAAATATGTATTTGGTATACAATTCAGACAAAGTCGATTGAAATCACATAAACTACACTAGAACCCACTTATTGGTTCATTAAAATCCCGTTTAGACTTCTCCATTTGAAGAACTAAATCCTTTCAAGCAATGAAATACATACTGAAGCATCTCAAAAAATATAAACTGATACGTTTCCGTCACAGAAGGTCAAACTTAATAGAAAATAGAGACGAAAAATATTCTAATTTGTTTACTATACGAAGTAACATGTAAAGCTGGTATTCTCAAAACTCAAAATGCATTTCCTTTCAGGTTAATTGAAAAAAATAATGTAAACTAAACTATATTTCTATAATACTCCAACTTATTCATTGAAAGCAGGTTAAAGAAACAACAGTCAATTTAGAGATACAAATATTTTTTCTGCTTGTCCCTACTTAGTTTCTAGGATTCGTAATTTTACGGAGTTTTTACTGCAGTTATCCATCATTCAGCTGTAAAAATCTTCTATAAGAATAGAATAATGATTTGTACATTTATATTTTTGTTCATTGTCTGTGCAGATTAATCGGCTTCTCCGTGAGTCTATAAGGAATGTCTGGAATGCGTAATCTATCAGTCAGAAAACAAATAAAAACAACAGGATGTATAATATAGAGGAAATATTCATTCATTTTTCTCATAACATGAAACAGGAAAATAATAGTGAAATGACATCCGTGTCCATTTATATATCCAGTTTGTTGTTTGTATTGCAATAGACATATAAATCCAGACCATTGACCTACCCAATCTTTTTCTGGCCGTCAATTGTTGCAATGTAATATTATCTGACTATTGTATGCTTGCTCTTTACAATACCATGGATGCCATTCAGCAGAAGAATTGTGATGATCGTGAAGGAATGCATCTTATAGGGAAAGGATATCATTACACATAGCGGATAATACAAGAATTATATCAAGAGTTCAATTGTTGCTAATCCCCTTAAGTTTACATTACAAGGTGCTATTCACCCTAGATTTATGATACAAGGTGCTATTCACCTTAAAGGTATAATACAAGGTGCTTTTCACCCTAGATTTATAATACAAGGTGTTATTCACTGTAAATTTATAATACAAGGTGTTATTAACTGTAAATTTATGATACAAGGTGTTATACACCCTAAAGGTATAATACAAGGTGTTGTACACCCTAAAGGTATAATACAAGGTGTTATACACCCTAAAGGTATAATACAAGGTGTTATACACCCTAAAGGTATAATACAAGGTGCTGTTCACCCTAAAGGTATAATACAAGGTGTTATACACTCTAAAGGTATAATACAAGGTGTTATACACCCTAAAGGTATAATACAAGGTGTTATACACTCTAAAGGTATAATACAAGGTGTTATACACCCTAAAGGTATAATACAAGGTGTTTTTCACCCTAGATTTATAATACAAGGTGGTTTTCACTGTAAATTTATAATACAAGGTGTTATTCACTGTAAATTTATAATACAAGGTGTTATTAACTGTAAATTTATGATACAAGGTGCTATTCACCCTCAAATTATGATACAAGGTGTTATACACTCTAAAGGTATAATACAAGGTGCTGTTCACCCTAAAGGTATAATACAAGGTGATGTTCACTTATGTGTCATATGTATGATCTGAGAGATTGCAAGTAGTATATGCCGCAGGTGGACGTGCATGTCCCGTTTCAATTCGTTTGAATGGTGGCACACTTCAGAATAAACACGTGTTGCAGACGTAAAGAACGTAATTACGAAATTTGTTGAATGATAGGGTATGTGCACCTCCACATCTTTTCTTTTGATCAGTTTAGATTTTTTGACAGTCGCATCCTGGGCTTCAAACTGTAGGCCCTTTTCATCACTAACGGATCTTACAGGAACAAAACAGCTGTTTGATGTAGTTTAATTAATTGTTGGTCTCTACGTAATCTAAATCTAAATTTGTATGAAAAGGAGTTATTCACTTGAGTGTCTTTTGTACAATCTTCAAAATAATATGGCTTTTTTATCAGTAAAAGATGTCAACAAAGTAAGAAGCTTTTCCCAAACATTGAATGATATATATCTTCGTCGCATATTAGTTAGATGCATACACCGAGACAGATATTGCAACATTTCTTTGAGATCAGTTTTAAAGCACACCAGTATGACTTCATAAGAAAATGCAGTCGTGTATTTTACTATATCTTTTACTCAAAACAAACTCCTTAGAGCGATTTCCATTAAAATACTGTGTTTTGTTTTAAGACGAATCCCCTCTGGAATGATATATTTAGTCAAGTTCTCCGTCTCTCCGTCAATCTTCAAAATTTGCGAAATATCAATATGGCCACCTGAACTGAATGGGCACCAAGGGACAAACACCTCGATGGTTAATTTATCTTGAGATCACATTCGTACAGCCAGACAGAGAAAGAACATTGTGACCTGAAGAATCCTAGGTGTTATACGCGCCACTCTAGTTCCATGCCGTTTCAGATATCAACGAAACCTGTAGACGCGAGAATTATTTGTGGTACCACTTTAAAAGGGACAAACATTTTCACGTTACATCGTGTGCTTGGTGACACTTGGTTTGATTGTAGTGAGGAGGACTGATAATACGCAAATGCCTCCAGTGGCTTAGTGGATCGCCATTCTATAGCTTTGTGGTATGAGGGTGCTGGTATATGATGACTGCTAGCGCTAGGTAATTGGTCACTGCGCTGGTTTCTTGGCCATCATAAAATTACAATTTGATGGTTTGCAACACGCAAACGGTTGAGCGACGGTCAGACTGGAAGTGTCCGGTTGGGTCATCATATGTCCCACTAATATCACTTCACATTTTGAAGGGATGGTGAATATAAGTACATAAGCGGTTTGAAAGATTCCCTCAATTCGACAGGGACCGGACAGACAAACAAAATTGAGAATGATGATTAACATGCTTCAGTTTAGAGTTTTGCAGAAATATCTAACAAGCAAAAATAGATGTTCTATACTGTATAAAGAAAGGTGGATTCTGATATGGTCAGAGATGAAATTATTTTATTTCAAAAAAGATATTTCTTATTTCCATTTATCGATGTTTTATAGTATTTAAACGTGGTTGCTTTTTTACTTTTCGATCGTTACCGACATGGACCAAAACGATCACAAAAGTAGAAAATTGACATTTTACTAGATTTCCAGCCTATGAATAGAAATACGCGTTATTGCAACGAGAAACGTTTTCCATGTGATTATTGCGTGAAGTCAAATTGTAAAGTCAAAGTGGCAAGATTAAAAATGAGGGCATGTTTAAACATGCAACCCATTACACTTTGACAGCAATTACGATCAATGGTTGGAAAAGTCTTCCAATTCAATGACTGTTCCTTATTAAGTTTGTCCAACAAGTGATACAATATTGAAGATCACAGGAATGTTTGCTCATCGCTGGGAATTGAAATTATTGATGTGAAATGCCTTTTTTCCTTTTTTTTTTTTTCTTTATTTTTCTATCGACCTTGTTCAAAGTTGAGAAATTTGTCAAATTTGTTGTCCCCGAAACGTAAAGAAACACTTTCTGGTTTCTAACTATAAACTGATTCTGTATAATCTTACTGGTTGTATTGATGTTACTTTAACTTATTCAATCCTTATTTTTGTGTTTTAGAGAAGTAATTCATTACATTTTATTTTTTAACATAGATCGGTAAATGGGTGTCTAATCCAGACTTCTTCGATTCAAGAATTCAGTTCCGGGACAGAATCAATAGAGGAAACAAGACCATGCCTTTTCCACTCCGAGGACGACGAGCTAAAGTTGTCATGATTTTGGTAGGACTTCAATATTTTTTGTGTATTTTGAACATGCGGTGAGGTACAGCTTCCTTGTAACGTTGATCAGACTAAAGACTGCTACAGGAAGTGCTTATTAGAAAGTTCATTTAACAGGTACAATAATATGAATTGTAATTATTTGAAGGAAAATCAGATTTATGAATCTAGGATTTTAATATAGCATGTTTATTTCCCCTCTCCGGATAAATTACATTGTCTCTCAAAACATGTCCAACACTACACTCTACAGAAACAGCTTAAATGACAGGTAGTTTTCATTAATTAGAAAGTCCTATTTTTCTCTAACTACACTCAAAAAAATATAACCCGGTGTGTATTTAATTTGTTGTCTTCCTACTTCGCCGTAAGGATCAATTTCGACTATGTCGAATGATGCTGCCTACAAAATAGTATCCAAAATAGCAAGCTCTTATTTAACTTTTAGATTAAGATTGTGATTTTTACCCTACTCAGCTATGTCCATAACGTTTTTCTCTGCAATTACATACCTGTATCTCTTTCCTTTTCGTATATTCAGGAGCAGCCATTCACAATGCTAAAACGTGATTACACTCAACGGCGTGGTAATGACCGCTTCGAAGGTTTCGCCGTGGACTTGATCAAAGAGGTGGCGGAAATGCTGCAATTCGACTACGATATCTATCTGGTTCACGATGGAAAGTTTGGGTCTAGAGTTGACGATAACAGTGAGGAGTGGAATGGGATGATTGGTGAACTTCTAGCTGGGGTGAGAAATAGTGAAACCATTCAATATATTTAGCTGGCAATTACGTGATTTTCCTCTCTAGGATAACTACAAATACGTACAACTCTCACCAAGATGCCATTGAATGATCGTTAAGAAGGGAAAACAGTATATATAAGAAATTCTTTACTAAAACCAAATTACAGGAAGCCTGGTTAACTTGGCAAGATTTTTTTGATACAAAGAATATATTTAAATAAATTTAAGCCCAAACAAAACACCTATTCGTAGAATAAAAAAAATATAATTTAGAATAAAAATTATGTGTAAGTAAAAAGAGTAATTATGACAGAAAAAAGGCAGGATTTCTTTTGGCATGAAGTTAAGCTTGCTAACTTTAACCAACATGTACTGCCTAGCCCAATAGGTTTTTAACTTTCAGACAAGGATTCACCACTGACAACCAGCATATTCAGTGTGTTTAACGCTACGGGAATCAAACCTGATTTAGTCTGTTCGTGACAAATACACATCGGTAATATTTGTATAAATCTAGAAATATTGCTGTAGTCAGGATATTTGGACTGTGCTTTGCGTGTGTAATTCTCGTGTTTCATTTCTTGTATATTGTAAAGATCATATCTCTGACTTTTATCCTACGGTCAAGTCGTCACTTTGAACAAAAAAGTGTCTGTCTACAACATGCAAGAAGGCATTTGCTCTTAAATCATGAGTTAGATACATTGTTGACACTGAACGCGTGATAGTCATCCATATCTTAAAGATATAAATAACGTTATCGTTATTTTACTCTGAAACAGGAATAAATTGATTGAGTTGTCCCGTTTGTCATGATTATTTCATTCTAACTCGATCTCCTATAGAAATGGGGCACTGCAATGGGATTATTCACATCCAGTTAGAAAACCTGACAATTTAACTTTAATTTAAAATCTATCATTTAATACCCATATATCTGTCAATAAATACCTTTTTCGCTTAAATGGTTTTAAAGAAATGGTACTTCAAGTTTTGTTAACGTTTCTAGAACGGCGCTACATCAGATTACTAAGATGCCATTGTGGTTTACCATTTTGGTGCGATAACTCGGAAACGTTATTTATACTGATCAAGTGGGCATGAGAAAGGCAAAAATACAATACTGTATTAAGTCAAATTTCTTTGTGTTGGAGATTTTCATAGTTGTGGGTAAACAATGAATAAGACTTAAGATAAAGGAATTATGGGTATAGTTGCAAGAATTTGATTTCCACGAAACGTTCTCTTAGGTTTAAATCAAGAATGAATGTACCTGTGCTAATATAAAAAACTTATTTGATATATTTGATGTTATGAAAAGTCAGTCAGGAATGCCAGTCAAGATCTGTTGCCTTGTTATCTCAATATAAAGCCAATGTATTTCTTAAAAAACAAAAATTCCCAGACAGCGTATGTAAAGGTACATGTGTATATTCTGAACCTAGTGTAACATCACTATCACCCCGGAAGTCTATATCTCGACATGTAATCATCTATCTAGATTTCTCCCAGATTAATTAATGCTTTATCTTGGAAACAGATACACCGACCTACCACAACTCTGGTGCTGTATTGTGATATCTGTGATGATTTCTTTATGACAAATTTCAATGATTACCCATGTCAAGATAAAGTGATGTGCACTAAGTACTCTAGTGATAAGGATAAATCTTATTAACAGCAAACAAAAACACACGTAATACGATAGTAGTCTACTAAGGCGACCTTCAAACTCTATGCAGATTGCATTGAAAGGTTTGGACTTGTTGGAGACTGTGTATTTTTAAACTTCACTTCCCGTGTACCACTGCGAAAAACATCAGTAAACGTCTTAAAAAAGAATTACCACTGATTCTTTCGTCTCTTTAACTAAAATAACATTGCCATGCGTTGACAAGAAAACCAGCTTTATATGTGTATAATTATTACAGCATCACCAGATAGGAATTTTTCCCGTGTAAAAATATTATATTGTTATCTACAAATGCGCAATAATTCGGGCAAATTTGGATACCTGTCTGAATGTCGCTAAAGCGTTCAGTGGGATTTTTATCGTTTAGTATTCCTATCGTGTTTGGCTACAACAAAATCGCTGTTGACTTTCCAGTTTAAGTTTTGCACATCTTCACATTGACATTCTGATATCATTCCAAATCTATGTTAGCTAACATCCTGCTGGTGAGTAACCTTCATTGGTGTAATGTTAAATAAGATTGTACAAAAGACACACAAGTTAAATCGTTGATAGAAATTCAGAAGCAGAAACTGTAGAGCCAAATGATATAAAAAAAAGTAAAACAATATCGACAAACCGACATAAGACAAGGAAATTGATAATAATTGGGTCACTTCGTGCAGTTTTGATTACATGTTTTTTGCCAATATCGGAAGTTATTTTAGAATAATTTGAAAGACTAATTTGACATTTTATCCTTAATATAACGCTTGATACATATATAAAATGCCTATTTCTGCGGTTCACGCTGGCTGCTGTCGTTATATAGAATTGAGACGTGTTATCTGGCACCATAATCAGTACAGGAACTGTCACTTTAATGGGTTTAAGGGTATATGGACGGTCTGATCTATACTTAACACCCCCTTTACTTGGTCACATAATGGAGAACCGACGGGAAATCGATACATATCATATAGAAAATAAAAGAATGATAGATTGAGTGTAAACATATAAAATGGACATAACAATACTGCTGAAATAAGCAGAAATGTCCGTCATAGTCTTTTATATTATTTTCTATTCAAAATATCAATATCATTATAATTTGTGTATATTGAGAAATCTAGAGGGACATAAATCACTAATAGCTAAATACTGTACATTGTGATGTGTTGTGTTGCATACAAAAACTGTCGTACCTGGTGAAACCCTTTTCTCGTAAATTAATCATCATAAATGTTCCTGAATTATTACATGTGCCATATTTGGAAGAACTGTCAAAACAAAATGAGAACACTTTTAAACGTCTACCGTTAGATGTGCGCACTGAATTTGACAGTCAATTCAATTAAGGCATATTAAATGAATGCTCAAGTTTTCGACTGCTATCAGTAGGTCTTGAATAGTTCGTGAAAAAAAAGCCGTTTTGATGTATGAATGATTGAAATTTACGTAAAACAAAGAAAATGCCAAGAGGCTTAACAGAGACTTCACACAATAGGTATGTTACTGGAATCATGCAGACACATTCTGTTAATTTTTTTGTCGGTGTCTCAATTCTGTTTAAAGGTTTATTCGTATTCGAGTTCTCTTTTTTTTTCTCTCTCTCTCTCTTCAAAACGTTAAATCACTGCTCGCAAAGTTCTAAATGTTTCGGAGTTTACACACCAGTCCGAGTGAATTAGTTTTTTTTTTATCTTTTTTCCAATTCAAATTTAGAATTAGATACAAGATAATCAAGTAACGAATACCGAATCTTACAACAACTATCGAAAACTAGGAAGCGCATGAAAACAAATCCAGGCGAAGTGATGGTCAAAACCACATATTGATGTTGGCTTACCACCAAAAGTAAATTTGTGATTATCAGAATTAATAACAATAGTATATATAGGAAGCATAAGATTTGACTTGGCAGTACACTTAAAGAGCAAAATATCCCATTGTTTATCTATGATCCGCTATGAAAAGAGATACGTCAGACTAACTAGATATATACAAAATGACCTTCCATTCAATCATATATCAAATGTCAGGTTCTGAAATAAGTCGTTAAAATAGTATTTACGTGTATGTTAGATACAGACAAAATGACCTTCCATTCAATCATATATTAAATGTCAGGTTCTAAAATAAGTAAATTAAAATAGTATTAACGTGTATGTTTGTGCTAATTCCATGATATTATACTGTATTTTGCTTTTTAGAATGCCACAATGTCCGTAGCTCCGATCAGTATCAATTCCCAACGGGAGGAGGCAGTCGACTTCACGAAACCTTTCATGACCCGCTACATAAGTGTCCTTATGAAATTACCAAAGTCTGAGAGGTCCTATTTTGAATTTCTGAACCCTTTGCACCATATCGTTTGGTGTTGTACATGTGGAGCCTTCGTGGTAGTTAGTATAATACTTTATATGCTGGAGAAGATAGGGACGTCTCACAACAAAGATTATCCTGCAATATCCTTCCGCGAGAGTTTATGGTTTGTGTTTGGGTCACTCCTTCAGGGCAGTACCGACGCCTCACCGTCCACCCTCCCTGGTCGTATACTGACCAGCGCCTGGTGGTTTTTTGCCCTTATCCTTATTTCATCATACACAGCTAACCTTGCTGCTTTCTTAACGGTCAAGAAGATCAACGCCCCTATCAAATCGGTCACTGATTTGGCATCTCAAACGAAAATACAATACGGCACGGTTCGAAGCAGTGGAATAATGCACTTTTTTAAGCAGACGACGATTGAGCATTTCTCAAAGATGTGGGCCCAAATGTCTGAAGTCCGAGAGCAGGATTCAATGGTGGAAACAACAGCGGAGGGATTTGAAAAGGTCAAAAAAGGAAATTATGCTTTCTTTTGGGATACAACAGTAAATAAATATATGACCATCATGGACTGTGAATTTATGGAGATTGGTCCTCATTTTGATCCAAAAGGGTTTGGAATCGGGGTCCCTCCTGGTGCCACTTACAGAGAAGAATTATCCATGGCTATTCTCAGGATGAGTGACACGGGACTTCTACACGAGTTGGAAAACAAGTGAGTTTTTTTTTAGATATTTATCTTAAAGTATTTGTTTTCTATACTTTTTTTTAAATTTCTACTTTGCTGCACTTATGTGCGTGAAATTTAATGGCTTACAGCGACCTGAGAATAAAATTGTAGTATCCTTACATTGCCGAAGTGCATAACGTTTTGATAAAGCCAGTTTTTCTTTTACCGATCTCCGATAAATGTGTTCACGCAATTCCACTAATGTCTTCGTTAAGTAAGAAAATAGCCTATATGTGTCCGCATCCATGGAAGACATTAAAGGATGTTATGTGAAACGATCTCTTCACATTCACTCTTAATGGAATCAGCTATCTGTAATTATATAAATACACGCATAACATGAGTGTTACGTAACTGAATTAAAACCAGCCATTTCTTTCTTTTTTATGTTTAGGTATATTGATGACGTGTTCACTGATCGCTTATTACACCAGGCGCAAACAGACCTTTTACTTGAGATAAATAAATACTATTTGCTAAAATCGCAAATAAACACATTATTTTAGCTATACTCAATTACAGCAATATCTTTATTTAACGTACGATCGGCCTTTTATTCAGAGAATTCGCCTGTGTAACATAAATATGAATACTTGTGGCTACATAGTGGATAGAATTATTCACCTTATGCCAACCACTCTTATTGGTTCGATTGTAAGCGCTCGAGGGACCTTACTATTTGAAGGAACCTGAGTATCCGACAAAACCCCGCATGGTCGCTCAGGAGACCCCTACCTTTTTTTCATGTCCGTTCGGGGATCCCCAGACGGTTAGGCGAAAAGCAAGTGCTTTACCACTGCGAATCCCGACCATCCAAACTCTTACTGGAGTGTTTCCCATTGGCTGCACCAGTGAGAGGTCAATTGTGATAATATGGACAATATGACGTTTCATTGTGAATTAAAATTTGCTACTTCCATTTCATTTTGTACTCTTCCGTTTTTACTTTATACGCTATCAGAATGTACAAGGTGGTAAAAAGTATCTTAAATTTATATTTATTTCATATGGAATTTTATGAAACTCTCTCCATGTCTCACAAAACATGCTCAAATAAAACTCCATAACATCTCTTATGAAGTGAAAACTCATTTGAGATCATTTAAAGATATTTCTACACTCTCACATCTATCTTACAATCCAGTTAGATATCTACAATACTATAAAGATTGTCAGTGTCAGGTTTGTCATACCGATCCAAGTTGATTCTCCAGACAGGAACGTTTCACTGTAAGCCCCAGTATTCTCTGCCATGGTAACTGGATTTACTATCGACTAAATCTGGGATTAGAAGAATTTTTCGTTCCTTCATTGTACTTAAATTGATCGCAGATTTCAATCACCATGGGAATATTTGATGCATAATCCGAAGTCGTTCGATAAATCCACTACGAATGAAGTTAATCTAGTTTACGTGAAGAGTTGTAGCTTTGCTGAAAAAAAGAAATGGACATGTTTCACAACGGAGCATTGACAGATAATTTGTAAATCCTGACGAATTACGTCAGCAGCCATGATGAAGTTTGAACTAACGTGAAATTTGAATTAAAAGGGGAATAGAAAATGTTGTAATCACAGACATGTCAATGCGACGTTCAATGAACTCTCTTGCTTACCTTGGTGTTACAGATGGTGGGGACGGCGGAATTGCCCTGACTTTACCAAGCCTTCAGCAGACGAGACGTCAGAATTACAAATAGAAAACGTTGCAGGAGTGTTCTTCATTCTGGTAGGGGGCATAGTGTTTGCAGCCATCGTGTGTGGGTTTGAACATTTTACAAAAATGCTTCAAAAGGCAGCAAAAAAGGTAAAAAGCCGCAGACGCTTATCCTTTTATTTATTTTTTTCTGTTGTTTTCCCTAAAAGAACATTAACACTAGAGATGCTTGAATTTCGTTGTTTGATGGTAAAACTTTACCAATGGAAGAGTGACTCATACATGACAATAAAAAACTACTGTTATCTGAAAAGATTGAATTTAATGGTTTTCGATAAAACTGTATTAATCAACCTTAATGTGTTTATTCTTCTCTTTGAAACCAATTAACAATAAAACCTTTTATTATTGCTATGAATATTTGTTTGAGTGTTTAGGCTTGAGCACTATCAATATTCCTCGTAGGCGTTGCTTCTCTAGTTAATTGAAATCGTCATCTCATATAAGACAAATATTATAGTCCCTCATTGAAACATCAATTTTCAAAGAGCCGAATACTATAACACCATGAACAGACGCATAGCAGGAGGTTACAAACAGAACTGATTGTTATGAAAAGTAATATTTTTTCTGTAACAAATAAATACAATTTGAGACTCTTCATTGTCATCAGTTGGTTTGCCCCGTTACTAAAACACACAGCAAATGTTTACAAACCTCTCTGTCAAAGTCACAACAGTGGTATCTGATTAATAGCCTGGTATATTGACAGTAGTCCAAATATTTATTTACAAGATATTGTATTTTTCCAATACAATTGATATCTGACACAATACAAAAGAAATGACATTAATCCTTGTGAAAATACTCAGTGTCATTAGTCATACACTGTTAGTATGTATGTATTTCAGTGTGTTTACACTTTACAAGAAACTTTGATATTATATGTTAAATGAGATAAATGAGAAGTAATGCCAAATATTTGTTTGCCTCAACGACATGTGAAGTGTAACAGATGTCACAATGACTTTCTGGTAAATAGTCTAAGCTGATAACTCAAATCTGAACATTCTGATATGTTGGTTATTTGGTGAGATTATGAAATTATTAGCAAAGCCATGTACAGGTTTTGTCGCAGAGTAATCGGATTATATTTACCTTTCTCCTACTTTATCATTACAGCTTTGCAAGGAATCTCATATGTTCAACATATTCTTATTTGTGAAAAACAATAATTCATGGTAAAACTACTTTTAAGACATGGAGGAATAACTTGTTATAGTCTATACAAACTTGATACGATATTGTCATCAGTTAGGATCAACTAACTTCAAAATCACATGCTAATCTATTGATTAGATATTTCAAAGATTTGTGTTCTATGTTATTTTGATTCCATTTGATTATAGCAGAAACTATTGGTCATTTTCAATCGATCCTATCAACATATTTACCATAAATAGTACTGATGGCATCACCGATAATGCAGAAGACGATTAAACGTTCAGTATGTCTAGTTTCATTTTCCTTGTATTTCATCATGGGCATCATGTAAATAATTTTGTTATATTTTGCCCTAGCTTCATAGACTTTTATAACTACACATACTCATGATAACTATTCTTTTTACAGCAGAAAACCCCACAGGCTGAAAAGGAACGTGAGAGCTTTTTACTACCTACAAGGACGTAGAACATATTCCATTAGTAGTATTTTGAACAGTAGTAATAAATTGAAGATTGTTTCCAAATATCAATGAGTTATTCAACGACGAAAGCACAAGAAAATAGTAACAGTCATTACAATGATATAACAGAAAACATTGACAATTCATGTTATTCCAACAGAACGAGACATATCGTGTTTTATGTCATAGGTAATTATGATTAAGTAAAATTTCATTTACACCTTTTTATCTTGTCAGAAGGTGCAAAGTTTGTTAATGTATTGTATACAAAATGTGCTTTGGAAATTCGGATGGATCCAGTATTGTGAGTTATGTGTAAAAATTATATACTGCAGTCAGTCAATATTTCGAGTTCAATTTCTCCGAAAGAATGTCAGGAATAAAGAATTGACTTTGGATTTTCGTATTAACCTTCAAAACAAAAGAGAAAGTTCATATGAAATCTTTGACGTCATGCCTGTCATTGTGACGTTTGCCAGTGAGAAGCATCTCCCAAGATTTCATTATCATATGTTTCTGGTGACGTCATGACATATCCGCTGGTGAATAATAATGCAAATAATGAAAGAACGTCGAGTATCCATTGTGACAACGATGTTAAAACTGGCGATGAATTTGTATTTTAAAAAATCCAGATCAGATGACATCTTACAGAAATCAATTGTATACATGTGTCTTGGTCATCCAGATTTTCACTAAGAAATTGATTGAAATGAATTTCAAGAGAAAACAAGTATCATTCCGTTTGTGATTAAGTACTTTTTGAAGTGTCACCTACGTTATGCAGGTGTTTTGTGACTGAGGAAAAATCATTGTGTGCTACCAAAGAGAGGGGAAAATGACACTGACTGCGAAAATATGTTAATTAATGTACATTTAAAGTTTGAGCATATGAGTATTTTCTGTAAATAACTGCTGACCAATTATTTTGGGACACAACTGTTGAATATATATTTTCAGATGATCGAGGATAATTGATGATAACAATGTATGCTGTATCCATGAGCCTTTGATATGACTGTGGAAGTTATTGATACATTTGACAATGTCAGGTTTGCCTCCAAATGTTGACATTATGCCTCTTATATTTATCTGTGAAACAGGATTTAATTTATGACAAGGAAAATCATGAGATACAATGTAAACAAATGTATATAATGATATATTTCTCTTGCTCAAAACGCATACCAGAAATTCTGTTCACATGTAGTTAATGTTCCGTATCATTACAATGTTACTGGTTTCAATCACGCAGGTTAGTTATATTTTGTACCTGTAAAAATTTAACACATATTTACAACAATTTATTGCCGGACGTTTGAAATGGAAAACATATTACAATTCACGTAAAATCAAAATTACTATGAACATTTCTCTGTACTCAATACTTCAGCGTATACTTATACGACAATTCGAACGGACCTTTTATAATAAGCGTTTTTATTCATTCAAACCATCGCATATTTCATGATTTGTCGTCAAGTCTGGTTATTGAAGCATTTACTTATCTCAAAATCACATGCTTACCTCACAAAGTTATTTCTCTTGATTTGTATGGGTTTTATGTGCAATAAAGTTACAAATAAAGTTTAAATATATGCAAAACCATGGATTACAAAGTTCTAAAATTGGAGTTTTACTCTTATGTATTGGTTAATTAGGAGTAAGAACGTAACAAAACAAAAGTTAGTTTCAATAACAGAAATATTCTTGTAAAGTAACGATTTTAATACTCTTTGTGTATTATGAAGTCCCGATACCAATCTGTTACTGCAATGTACATACCTTCCTATACCAGTCTGTACTTCCATGTACAGTACGTATGTGATATGATTCGTTCATTTCGAAATCACTCGCCTTGTCATCACATAGTCTCAGATAGGAGTAACATGTCGAGATGATGTTTCAAACTTTTATAGAACGAGTATATTACAAATAGGTATGTGAAATTATAGTCATTTTTCAGTTGATTGCTAACTCATCTTCAACGCTTTTTCATGAGAAGAGTGATGTTAAATGAATTAATTCTAAAACAAGTTTTATCAAAATGGCTTTTGTTTAAAACCTGACATGACCTTCGGTGAAATTTCCGTATTGTTTTGATTTTTCAACAATTATGTTCTAAATCAATCTTTGCAGGATGAAAGTATACGTCTTATCCTAAGTTATTCACCGAGACGTTTCTTTTTCGAGATATTTTAGCAGTGTAGCAAAAATATCCGATTTTATCTTTCCCTGTGTGACATTATGTCAGTGCCTTAAGATGACAGTACTCTTATTACGATTGATGTTGTATGGCGCATTTCAAGTGTACTCACACTTCATATGTATGTTTGTTTTTTATTTCTCATAGCTTTATCTGCCTGTAAAGCAATCAGCAAAGTCAGAGTACTGCAGGTTACCTATATTTTGAATTCATGCTAAATTATCCTCAGTTTGTATAGTACCTCTTCTTAGTCGTCACTGCTGCTTCTGCTTAATGTCTCATCGGTCCAGGGGAAATGAAATACCTATTACAGTTATATCTCTACATTTGTATAATTACAGTTCAATTAAGATTTTAAGGTCTAAGGGATGTTTGCCATTTTCTCGAGGTCATTCAAGCAGTTGGCAAATGTCCTGTTCTCCATTAAAACTGAAAACTAGCTCAAAATACTGATCTGTTGCGGGACATTTGCTTCGCAAACCTATCTGCAGAAGTGTGTTTAAGCTATTTCTGTAGATTAGAGTTTGTTTCCTGTTTTAGTGTCAAAGGACTCTTTGTAAATTCTGTGATCTTCCATTTAACTGTTTTCACTACACTTCTTTTAATTGTAATACCTAAAACGATTGTCAGCGAAAGATGAATCTCAATTAAACGTCTCTCTTTAGTAATTTTAAACATACGATTTAGTTATATGTATGATATAAGATTTATCACCTAGTATTATTGATGAGAGTGATATGATCAGGTACGTAAGAATTTGTACAGCTGTTTTAACATTTTCCTGAATAACCCAAAAGTTTGTTCTGTTATAAAACAGTGTTAAGAATGTTTGTGTTGTATAGATATGAGATGTTCTGCATATGCTTTATACAATGTTTCCCATGTTGTGTTACTGATTTGTAATAAATATATAACAGATAGTCTGGTTTCCACTACCTGTTATAAGTAGCCCATTCTGACCTATCTATATGTAAATATATCATAAATTGTTCATATTAGAATATCTAGTTGGTAATATATTTGTAAATGTACATGATTTTGATTGTAAAAGATGCACGTTGTGTGTATGTGGGATTAAAAGGAATACGTCCATTTTCCATAAGGAATTTAAGTTTTCAAATCAAGAAGATGAGATCATTTAATTGTAAATATGTCATATAGGTGTCTACCATTTGATAACAATGAAGTGTATTGTTTGTGATTATGTACCATGCTACATGTATGTTCAGAAATCCAGTACATGTTTCATGGAATTCCATATTTTAATCAATCGTCTTTAATGGAGGAACTTGATGAAAAGGTCACATGGAATCTAGTCTGGGTTGTGATAGATAGATACAAATTGCTGTGATACAGCCTTATCAATGTAGAATTTTGAGTGGAATATAACTTTCTCTGATTTTCTCTTCTTAGAATTATATGCCGATCATGTCTTTCAACATTTCCATAGAACACTTGCATATAGCATCAAGTCTTGCCCATATGGCAGCTCATTTCAGCGTCGAAATTTCGGTTTAAAAATTTTCCTCGTCACCTCCTCACCTCCACCCATAGGCATATACCCGTGTTGAACTGTTGTGATCAGATCCTTGGAAATTAAAGATGTATCTGAATACCATCAACTGGGTTCTTGTTTATGATTACGTTTGATTTTTAAGTATGCTCTTGTAGTTGGGACCTTCTGCTGATCTGTCTACGGCCCAAGACGATGTTAAGTAAGCATCAGTGCATAAATTGTGGAACCGGAAGTGGATCAAAGGCACGATTATGATTCATGCTACTAATATTTTTTTTAAATTTACCTTTAGATTCAATCTTCGACGTAAAATAATCATCATAAAAGTGATTCGAAAAAAATAGGAATTGGCTCTGAATATCGATTACTATGGAAAGTTTATACCCTGGTTAATTTCGATTATTCATCAAATGACTCCATATCTCTGATGATCTTTTAGCGGATATCCTTTAATATGCATTCATGTGTATTACAAAGTTTGCAATAACAATTAAGATTTCTTTTAAAGAAATATGTAGCGCTATAGTGTAAAATTGAAATACTGGAGTTTATTATTTGACAGAAAGCTATTTTGACAATAAGATGACAAGACGTTGACACGAAATATGATGCATCGTCTGGAAACATCCAGAGCTTTGTTAGTTTAGGAATTTAATTTAATTTCAAAGTGGAATTATGTTTTCGATATTGGACGCTAATAAAAGGATTTTTTGAAAAAAATCTTCATGCTCAGACAATGTTAGTCAAATGCAAAAATGCGCGCTTTTGATGATGCTGACTTGTCATGATATATGATTATGTACATATTCTTGCATGAAGTTGATCAAACATGGCAACAGACAACAGAGCAGTGTAGTATGTGATCCTGTTCCACAGTTATCGATGACTATTATCTCACATCCCCACTAATGACACAGGGATTAGTTCACTAACCCCAGCGGGGCACGCCCGATTACTCTTGGTGTTCTAGGGAGATGCAAGTCTATCTATTTGATTTCAATAGTGACAATAAATCCGCTGACAAGTGCACTGTAAATGTAAATAGATCTATCCTGTCCATAGTCATGGAACTAAATGCATTTCTATCAGAGACAGGGGAGAGGGATAGCACCCTTATATGCATAACTATCTACTTTTGTTGCTTTAGACTATCCCGACGATTTTGCATAATGCATAAAGAAAACGCCAGACTGCAACTTCAGGCCACAAGATGTACAATATATATACATAACACATTTGCATTCGATTCCTCCGATTACAGGAGATTTAATAAAATGACGCAG